ACAGTTACATAATTGCTTTAATTTATCACTCTCAAATGTATTATTAGTGATTTCAAAGACTAAAATAAATTTTTTAAAAGTTACGAGAATTAAAAAAATAAATTTAAATTTAAAAAATTAGATAAATTTACCTTAAATTTGATGATTAATTAAAAATATTTAAACTTATACATTTTACATACTAACTATCCAATTTGTAACAAATTTGACATACACAATAACATATTATTGTGCATTTCTCCCCCTCCTTCTTTATGTTCCAATTTATGATTAATAATTTTAAATGTATATTTGTTTCAAATATGATCAAATACGAATATAGCACAAGGCCAAAAACAAAACTAATACAAATGTATATTTGCTTCAATTTATGATCAAAACTAAGAGAGATAGAGAGAGAGAGAGAGAGAGAGAGAGAGAGAATCTATTTACTTTAAGAGTAAGTCTATTTAAATTTCAGTCAATGATTTATGTTCTACATTAAATTTTAATGATCCGATCGACAAATTAGAAGTTCTTAAATTAAGTCCACAAAGTTTTAAAAAATTTAAAAAATATTTGTTACTCTATTTCATTAATTTAAATTGATGGATAATCATAAAAATATTTGTGCATTGATTTGAATTAATGAAATAGAATACTAAATAATTTTCAAAATTTTTAAAATATTATACACTTGATCTATACATCAAGAATTTTTAATTCAAATGTTAGATTATAAAAATTTGATGTAGAACATGAGTTATTGAGTGGAGTAATCAATAGAAGGGATCATATACTTATTTCACTTAATAACTCATGCTCTATATCAAATTTTAACAATCCAATTATTGAATTAAAAGTTCTGAATATATAAATCAAGTTTGCAAAATTTTTAAAAAAATTGAAAAATTATTTGATACTCTATTTTATTGATTAAAATCAACGTATAGAATACCTATATGATTATCAATCAATTTGAATAAATAAAATGAAGTAATATATAATTTTTAAATTTTTTAAAATCCTAAATTCAATTTGAAGTTTAGGATTTAGTTTCCATTCATCGGATAAAATATTTTTATAATTATTCGTTAATTTAAATTAATAAATAAAATAATAAATAACTTTTAAATTTTTTAAAACTTTAATAAACTTAATTTATATATTAAGAATTTATAATTTAATGATTAAATTGATAAAATTTAATATAAAATATAAATTATTAAATGAATAGATTTAAGTAGATTTATTCTTCTTTTATATATCTATCTATATATATATAAATGAAATGGCTTCCGAAATCAAATCCTTATTAGATTGGTTGATTATATAAACATAAAATAATTTATGTGGTATGTGATACAATATAATTATCACTCCATTTTTCTTCGTACTTCAAAATTAAAGCTGCTACTTTTATTATCAATATTTTTTTTAAATCCCTCGATACACTTTACTGGACCCATCAAGTAATTGTTTTCCTCGTCAGAAATGACAACTGATTAGGGCTTTTATTGGCACTGCAATTCAGTAACAATATTATATTGTAGACTTGACTTGGATGGATGCATTGTTTTTTTGTTTTGTATGAAAAGCCCATTACATTTTCTGCATCCACATCTCATAAATAACATACAAATTGCAGAACCTTCAGAATTTTGCAGCAAGGTAGGCCCTCCACCCGACACAAAAACTAGGAAATAATTAATCAATAATCATATATATAATTTTTTTTTTTCAAATTCTACACCAGCCAACCTACTACCCAAAAAATGGGTCCAAATGATAAAAATCTCAGATTCCGCTTTAATTTTTTTATATAATTATATTATTATATAAAATATTTATTAACTTTATTAATTTGTTGATGATTAATTGTGTCTGAAAATTTGATAGACTAAGTAATCTTTACGTTTAATTATATTTGTTTATTATGATATATTTTTATTTTATTTTTATAATTATGTTATTAATATGAAATATTTACTGAATTTATTGATGATTAATTCTTATGAAAAACTCTAGTTGACCACTTCTAGTAAGTCTTTATTCTGAATTACATTTTTTTTTCATTCATAAAATTTGAATATAAAATTTTATTTTTAAAAATTGAATTTGATACAAGAATATGGTACTTTTAATTTAAGAACTTTATTGATAGATAATTTAAAATATGTTGTGATTTAAGGGCTTTATTGACACTATTTAAACTTTAAAGTGTGTTCTGATTCTAGTATGTTTTCAAGGCTAACTCACTTATTTCCTTCTAAATATGAAAAAAGGGAGTTCTACCTTAACTCTAGAACTGAATCCTTCCACTGTAATGACGAGAGATCAGTCATCCATATAATATTTTTCATAATATTGCTTTATAATTTTTTATTACATAAACTGTATTATGTATTTTTTATTATAACTTTTTGAATAGTTTTTTTTTTGTTTTTTTATCAATACAATTTCTCTAACGTCAAAGGAATTAGTTGTGTATAACTTTTTGTGTAAAATTTTTGTATCAATACAATTACTTTAATGACAAAAGGATCATTATCTAATTAAAGACCATCCGAGACGGAAGCAGAGGCAGAGAGAGGGTGAGGACACAAACAACCCCTCAATATCAATGTAATATCCACATATGAATAGGTCAGGACCAGGGCAAATTATACTCTTAAAATTTTCAAAAGCATTTTAGAATTATATTAATTACACCTCGAATTTTCTTACTTTAGTAAAATAACATGAACAACTCAAAAAGCCAAGGGATCAAACTATGTCCTGATAACTATTAGGCTATGTTTGGTTTTCATTTGGAGGCTCCGAACATCCATTCAAAAAAGTAAAATTGAAGAAATCTTTATAAATTGAGGTTTTTTTTCTCTTCAATTTTGTCTTGAATTCCAGTTTAAAAATAGAAAAAAGAGAGCTGCTTTTACAACCTTAGTTTTATAGAATAAAGTTGAGGGGGGTTTGTTTGTTTATCTATATTTCATATCTAAATCATGATTTTTTTTATTTATTTGGGGGAGATTTGTTGGAAATATCAACAAGGTCTCGTTAAAACAATAGGAGAAATAAGAGTTTACAAAATATATGCATACTTCATTGGTTAGTTGAGAAGTCTTTTAGATGATGATCAAAAGTAAAATTATGCAAGTAAAATTTTAAAATATACAATATCTAATTATTGTGGAGTTGTGATTAAAATAATTCAATAAAAATTACAAGATATAACAATCTCCTCTTAATAAATATATATCCCTTTCAAACAAATCAACAAAATAATTGTATCAAAATCGCTGGTTAGATTCGATTAATAACCCCATAGCCCATACATACAAACCATAACAAAAATGTAATAAAAAGATAGATTTAGTTGAATAAGAGTTTAGGAGGTTAAGACTTTTGTTTAAGAAAAAAGATAGATTTAGTTGAATAAGAGTTTAGGAGGTTAAGACTTTTGTTTAAGAAAAAAGATTGTTGATATACAAACCAAGCTCTGATACCGATGATTATATTTGTAATTTGTAAAATATATTTTTATTATAGGAGTGTAATCTAATTTTATTTATAAATAAAAGTTATAATATAATAATCAAATATATATTATTCTATTCTAAAAATAAGGAAACAAATTAATCATAAAATAATATAAAAAAATTAAATCTAAATATTTAAAATATAAATATATTTTTTTTATCAAAATTAATTTATTTTTATAAAGATATTTAAACATATTTCTAATGAGTATCCAAAAAGTGTATAACTTTCATATAGATAAAGTGTACGTTTGGATACCCATGCAAAATGCATATAATTGAAGATTTTTACATATATGTTTGAATAAAAATTAAATTTAAGTTCAACTCACTTTAATTTCAAAGTAATAGTCTTATTATTATTACATCTCATGTATTTAAAAGTAAAAATACATATTCCAATACTTTGAAATGGATAATTAAACACATTCATCAAACTTGAGAAAAGCCATCAAATTTGAGAAAAGAGACGCAAAAGCTAGTTAGTTATTCTAGCTTCAACGTAACAACATCATTCCTCTTGTCGTGACGAGTAATCGTGAAGAGTTCATCACAAAAATAACTATTTGTTGTTTTCATAGATGATGGTGAGTCATGCAAACACATCTTCCACCTTTCAAACATGATTTCTCATTTGTTAACCTCCACATTTCCATAGACGTTATAATAGAACATGTTTGCAAACTCTTTGGACATGTATTGATGTAGATCAGTGGAATGTTTCAATTTAACTGATTTTCATCAATTTTGATATGATTCTTACTAAAAACATGCACCATAGATATAAAGCAAAACATAGCGTATTAACAACTTCCCTAAACACATGAGTATAGTATATAAAATGGTGGAGAATGGAGATGCATGTGAGTGTGAAGGTGAGAGACAAAAATCCGTACAGTGTATGTGCAGATGAGAGAGAGAGAGAGCATATTAGACAAAGAAAAGGGTAAGGATAAGCAGAGAGGGAGAGAGGGGCAGTTTGGATTGAGAATTAGTGTGAAAAGCACGAGACATGAGGAGACCAATCAATAAATGAGAAGAAGGGTCAAGGTTGATGAGCCTCATCATAACCCTCATCATCGTTACGTCGTTTTACATTCTCTTCTCCCCAAAATATACCAGAATTTCACGCTTTCTCCTCTTCTTCCACACCCCTCTTTTTCCTTTTCTTTTTATTTACCTTCACTTTTGTCCCATGTTGCACCAACACCATCCTCAACCTTTTGCTTTATTACCATTCATCTATGCCAAATATATACACAATTAATAGGTCGATCAACTAGTATAAAATTATTTTAGTTTAACAGTGATCATGAATTTAAATCCTGTTAATTATATTAAATACTAATTAATAGAGAATTTTGTCGATCATGTTCGTTTCAACTGTATAGAATTGTCTACATTTTTGTAATGTATATATAAACATTGCGTACTTTTCATTTGAAATAGCTAGGACTTGCCATTTTCTATATGGTCCACCCTCTCTTCACATATTAACTTGCTTGCATGCTACCTCTACTCTTTCACACTTTTTTTACTTTCTATGTTCTTGCTTTTTTGATTTTTTCAACTTCAACACCATTCTTGTATGCTTTATCATTCCAATTCCCATTACCAAGTGACAAGGCAAGATAGAGACAGACAAACAAATCTATTTAAAGCACTCCCACTTTATATCCATATATCACACCTCTTTCATTGTTTTAGTGTATATATATATAACCTGGTAAAGGTAGTAGTACCTTGTAGCTTCATTCGGTGATATATTTATAACCTTTTTTCTACCATCAGTTCACCCTTGTCACTACACAAAAAGGAGAGACCAAAACCCTAGCCTTTTTACTCTCCAAAATGTGGATGGTGGGTTACAATGAAGGTGGAGAGTTCAACAATATGGTTGATCATTCACTCAGTGGAAGGAAACTCAGGCCTCTCATGCCAAGGCCAATGACTTCTCTTAACAACGCAACAACAACAACAACCACTCCTGGCTTAACTCACATCCATGGCAATGATTTCCTTTCACAATATCATTATCACCATCTTGGTAATATACATGCTCTTTCCTTAGTTGTTGTTTATATGCATTTGATGCTTTGCCTTTTATATGTTTATGTTATGTGTACAAAGAAAAAACTGCTTATTCTTTTAGAAACTGGCAGAACAAAACAAGAGAGAGCAATTGCCAGTTGTGGTGAGTTCAAGGTGGAATCCTACCCCAGAGCAACTAAGAGTCCTTGAAGAGTTGTATAGAAGAGGAACAAGGACACCATCTGCTGAGCAAATCCAACACATTACTGCACAACTTAGAAGGTTTGGTAGCATTGAAGGGAAGAATGTGTTCTATTGGTTTCAGAATCACAAAGCCAGAGAAAGGCAAAAGCGCCGCCGCCAAATGGAATCAGATGCTGAAACTCCAGAGAAGAAAGATTTAGGTAACACACCCCCATGCCATGTTTCTTAATTAGTTCATAATCATAACCATTCAGTTAACTTTGTTTGTTAGAGATCTGTGTTATATATTATTTGTAGCTTTGCTTTTTTACATATTCTGATTGTTGCTTGAGATGTCAAGTTGTGTTGATTTGTTTTTCTTTTTGTCTACAGCTGCAAGTAGGACAGTGTTTGAAGCTGAATGGACCAAGAACTGGACACCCTCAACAAACTGCAGTACCATTGCAGAGGTCTTATATTCCATGTCTAATATACTGCTTTTGTATTTGTTCTAGTTCATGGACTAATTAATAATTAATAATATTTACACTAGACTACTTGTTTTTTTTTCAATTTGGGATTTGTTTAATAGCTAAAAAGTTCATAATCTTATCCATCAAGTGGTGATTACTGGCATATGATTACTAGAGATCAAGTCGATGTTGGAAACATGTATATTATGGAAAGATCTGCACTAGGTATAGGGAAAAGACCCAACAAAAGCTTCGTTTGTTGGGAAATGAAAAGGGCCTAAAAGCTGAATTCCTTCCTTTCTGTCGGCTCTGCTGTTATGCTACTTAACTTTGCTTTTGGGGTTTGTGCTTATTCATGTCATTTAGGTCAGTAGTTTTAAGGGCATCCCAATACAATATTCTACGCAACTGAGCACCCTTGATGAATGAAAAGACAACCTTAACCCTACTTTTATTTGACTTCTCTTATCTTAGACCATGCATGCACCTTTTAATTCAATGAATAGGAATTTCAAATTTGAACAATCTTTATTGATAAAGTTGACATTTAAATTCGTTCAAAAATTACTTTAACCTTTTTTTTTTTTTGGTTATTGATTGTGTCTAGCTATACAAGTATTTTTCTAGGAACTACTTGTGCCCAATTGAAATATATGCTATCCAATACTTTTCTCTCCTTTAGTTTTCTGATTTTACTACATGTTGCGGTCTTCAATTTCATGTGTTTGCATGGCTGCAATTCAAACCCACAGGAATCTGTTTCAACACAAAGGACAGCAAAAGCAGTGTATGCAGAGAGTAGAACAGATGGATGGCTCCTATTCCATGAAGGGGAATTACAACAAAGAAGAAACCTTTTGGAAAGGAATGCAACGTGGCATGTGATGCAGTTACCATGTCCTTCTCCTGCACCTGTCACCCACCTCATAAACACCCCTCCTAATGCATCTGCAGCCACTACTACAACCACAGTAATAGCAACAACAAAAATGGACCCAAACCTCATTAAGGCACATGATCTCAGCTTTTTTTTTACACCCCAGAGAGAAAACAGTGTTATTCACTTGAGTAGTAGCAGTAGTACTAGTGAAGATGATAACTGTGTGGAGTCTCAAACCCTTCAACTTTTCCCTTTAAGGAGTGGTGATGATGGAAGCAGTGACAACATTAAGGATAAGGACACAGAGATATCAACTTCAGCAATGAATGCCAATAACTTAACCCCAGGCCAGTTTTTTGAGTTCCTTCCTATGAAGGACTGATAATATTATCAGAAACACGTATATGTGCGATGTTTGTAAGATGATGGGAACGTGTTTTGGTGTTGTTTTGTTGGAAAATGGCACTGCTTTTATTGTTAGTTGTTAGTGATGTTATGTTTCAAGGAATTGGTGTTGTAATAGGACGCTGACTCTGAAAGAAGGTATTGTATTTTACCTTAAAATGCATTTACTATGTTGGTTGAATCAAAAGAAGAATTATTTACATTTGAAGGGTTAGGTAAGTAATTGGCCTTATTTAAGTAATTTGATGGTTGATATATATGTGTGTGTCTGCAAGTGGTTCTGATAGAAGAGTGAAATAGGAAAGATAGTGGAGGAAGGTGGACTTTAATGAAGAATATTGTGTTAGGAATTTGATTTTTTAAGACATGAAAATGGAATAAGAAGTGACAGACTTGGATGTTGAAATAGCTATGAGTTTGGATTGGAGTGTTCTTTTGTTCTTCTGTTACATACATCGAAACAGTTCTGCGTTATGCATATGCATGCAGTGCATTAATTTAATTATAGGGGAGTAAGTAAACTTGGAAGTGCAGTTTATGACAATGATCACATCAATGCATGGGAAGGGTAAAGTGTAAAGACTAAAGAGGCAGGTGCATTTAAAGTAAAATTCATGTATTCAATTGAAAGATGCTTTGAATTGAATTTGATACAATAAGATGTTAAAATACAGATATACGTAAATATCATGTGAAAACTATCCTCGTGCATGGTCAAGATTAGTTTTATTCAATTCTAATCTTAATTAATTATCCACATTCATGTAATTGTAATTCACTAATTGATATTATTTATTCAAGTGCAATTTTCACAAACATGTAGTTCTCCTCAAGAACTATTCTGAAAACAATATGCCCACACAAATTTTTGTTTGTTTAAAAACACTGTTTTCTTATATATTCCATAAACAATATGACAAAAAATAATAATAACTAAAAGGGCTTTGGTCAAGGTTTTTCTTGTCAAATTGCATTGTCAAAGGTTGCAGTAAAATAAAGAATCCGCGACAAATTAATATTTTATTTATAGAATTGATAACAATATGTTTTAAAATTCATAGTTCTCACCAATATTACAAGTGTCTTAATATTCCTGGAACTTTAATTACATGCACAACTGATATATATATTTCCCAACCTTATATGGCGCTGGGTAAGAAACCAGATGATAAATACAACATTGATAACAATATGTTTTAGAATCCATTATTCTTACCTACATTCCTAGTGTCTAAACTTTAATTCCCAGAACTTTAATTACATACACACGATATATATTTCTCAACTGTATCGTATATGACGCTAGGTAAGAAATTAAACCAAATGATAAATAACAGTACAGCATATATATATATAGAGAGAGAAAGAGAGAGAGAGAAAAGAAAGGAAACTAATTAAAAATTGAAGGGGTCTTTATAGATATGTGAATAATTTTATTATGTATAAAATTTGATATCATTTTAATATCCCATAGATTACATTACATTTATTGATTGCATTATTGCATAGTATAGTAATTAAAGTATGTTTAGAAAGTGATCGATCACGGGTGGCAGTAATATTATATTTGTAAAAATGGTTCACCAGATGAGCAATATTTGTAAAGTGGTTAATTATGTTGATCTGTTACGTTACTGAGCTATGATTCCGTACGAGTTCAGTCTCTGTTGCATGTGTACCCAATGTCTGATCGCTGGCTAGCTTTCAAAGGTAACTGAACTCAACAAAACAATCAGAAGAATCATGTGCTACTTTCGGAAACTATAGGATAAAAAACTTTTTCATTTTTTTACTATACTTGTTACTTGTCGCCACCACTCACAACATTATATTATTATTATGTCTAACCCGTTTTTAGTGACAAACAAGACAAAATACTTCCAACCTTAAACCGCACTTGTTGGTTGAACAACACTCATGGGATTGCAAATTTGCAAGGGCATTCACTTGGTATAGTTCTCCAAGTACACATGAAGTTGCCAGGGTTTCGCTTCGCTAGCTTTTGGTCTCTTTCTAAGTTGGTGAGAGTGACATTTTAGAATATTTCTAATAATTTTTTGTGGGTTTTAATGGATTAATATTGCTTTTGGGATTCTGAAAAATGGATTATTATAATCGTCATTTAATATTGAAGTCCATTAATATAGTGATTATTTGATAATGAGATCTAAATATTTAATATAGACTCATGGAATATCAATGCATGTCTTAACCTTGAGACTTATGATGAGAAGTATCTAGATTTAATATAGACTCGTAGCTATATTTTTTTTAATGTGATGACTTTCTTTGCTCGTTGTAGGACTTGTTTCATTAATAGATGCGTCTTGAGTTGTGATAATAAAGTAAAACTTGACATGTTATCTACATTTTTTTTGTAATATCATAAACAAGTAGAAATTTATTTTGTCCTATTTTCAAATAATACCATAGTTGTTTTGTGCTTGTTTTTTTTTTCTTTTTTAAATTTGGTATCAAAGAGCCTATATATGCTATGATTTAGGATCAATTTTGTGTTTTTTTTCTTACCATTTAGGGTTTGTTATATGAATTAATCACTCATACACTCGTAGTGTAAATTTTTTTTTTACACTGACAATCAATCATATTTTTTAATAGTGTTATGTCATTTGCTTATTTAATCAAATAAAAATAAAATAAAATAATTTAAAAGATATGATTAATTGTCTTTGTAATTATATTGGTAGTGTAATTATATTGGCAGTGTATAGATAATTAACTCTTGTTATATTATTATAAAATTTATTTTGAAGTATATATTAGTAAGTAAAGTATGTTTTACAAATCCAATTATTTTAATAGTGTATTTGTTAAAATTTAAGCTTAGAGCCCACCTCAATTCCATCTAATTAGCTTTAAAAGTGAAGACATCGTCTAAGGCTCATAAAAACTGTAATCGTCTTAAGTAAATATGTTAGTCTAAAATGGCTTATTAGTAATTACGCATTTTAATTATGTTTTTACATGAATTATATATAGTATAATATAAATAGTTCAAAATATTAAACATGTAAATAACTTCTATTTAAAGCCTTAAGGACCTATTTAATTTATCTAAACAAATTTCAAGATTGTAGTAGTGCTGCATTGCATGTATTTGAAATTTTGTTTATCTTAGAAATTTAGAGGAAAACTAATGCAACCTATCAAAAACTTTAGTCACTAAAGAAACCTAAGGCTCACTCTGGTCGGGCTGCGGTGCGTGAGGGACCTAAATGCCATGTGCCCGTGGACCTGCATGTGCGGTCACGTGATCTGAGGCACATGGTCGCGTGCTTACCTTCAACTCCCCGGGCCCGAGTTACTGTTGCGCATGGGCAGTTACGGAAGCCCACGGGCCTGTGCCCACCGCTTATTTCAGAATCTTCAACGGTCGTCAGTCCTAGGGCCTACTCCTATGCCTATGATGACCCCATCTGCCTCCTTATTTGCTCTAAGGATAACTATTTCCTCACTTTGTTGCCCTAATTAACAATCCTATCATTTAGTTTGATTTATTTAATGTTTTTCACTTTATAATATGTGTCAACTATTTTCTAATGTTTAAAAATTCATTCATCAGATAAATTTTTCTTAAATTTTTTTCCCTCATATATAAGTAAAAAAAATGTTTTATACTTGTTGAGAAAGTAAGTTAATATGTTATTTAATTACATAAATTTTGTTAAAAATAAATAGTCTTTCTTAATTATTTTTGATTAAAATTTGATATCAAAAATAAAAATGAGTACTTAGAAATAAACCCGCAATTAAATTATATTTGGATATATTAACATTATATTTTGTTTATATTTAATACCAATAATAACCATGTTTTTTTTTGTTGCTTAATTATTTTAATATATATTGGATGATGTGTTTCTTTTTTTTTTTTAAGCTACTCCTAACTTTAATGATACTTACTTCAACAACTATTTATTGAATTTAGAAAAATAAATTTAATTAGGAATTCTTTTTTGTAAAAAGTAATATATAATTAATTAATACAAAAGATATTTTACATTAGTTTTTATAAATAAATAAAAAACTAAAGAACACTTTTTAGTTGAGTCTTTAAAAAAAGAGGTGGGGAAGTACTGTTTAGTTCTTACATATAATTTCTTTTTATGTTTTAGTTGTTGTATTTAGTTTTCTGAAAGTATAATTAAAATCACTACGAAAATAGAGATATATAAAGACTTAAACACAAAAGAAAACTATTTGTTTGTCTATATTTACTTTAGATATAGGGACTCAAACAAAAACTAGTACATGGAGTGAAATATATAAGGAAATCTTAATTTAATTTAATTTTTTTGAATATATATTTACATATTTATAGTAAAGTTTATTCAAACTAAACATGTTAATCTTTTAGTATTTTAATATTAAAATTTTCTAGTGCCAATTTCCAAATTGGTCGTATTCTCTCTCTCTCTCTCTTCGTATATATATATATATATATATATATATTAAAACGATTACAAATTCTATGGTAATGATACACCAATGATTCCATACAACTTTACTGAGTCACACTAATTGAAAACATGATTGATTACCAGAGGCAGGAGATTT